TATGAAGGTTTATGGCGGTTTCCGCCATTTCCGATATGGCGCCCGCCATGGTCATGGCGCCGTGAAGGTTTATGACGGGCATGGCGGTCATGAAGGTTTTTTTTATTTAAAAAAAACTATTTTTGGGCTTTGAAACAGGCCCAAATGGAGTGAGCCCTAAGTTTTTGGCTTGTCTCCGCGTCTTGTCTCTCTTCTCCCTCACAGTCGCGACTTTCTGCACTTGAAGAGGAGTGAACCCTAAACATCTCCGATCACCTTTGTTCAACTCCAATCACTGCACTCCGGTCACCTTTGCCACCGACCACCTGAACCGCAGCGGCCCAACACTCCGGCCAGCAACCACGAAGTGCCAACAACACTTACGGAAGTTGAAACCGCCTAATCACCTTCGTTCACCGCCCCTTTGTCCCCTTTCTGGCCGGCAACCTGAACCGTGGTGGCCCAGTACTCCGGCGAGCTACTCCGGCGAGCAACTCTGGCAAAACTAGGTTTTCTTTTTCAGTTTTAATCCTACTTTTTTTTTTCAGTTTTAATCCTCCTCCTACTTTTATTTTTTCAGTTTTAATCCTCCTCCTCCTTTTATTTTTTCAGTTTTAATCCTCCTCCTCCTTTTATTTTTTCAGTTTTAATCCTCCTTTTTTTTTTTTTTCAGTTTTAATCTTCCTTTTAATTTTTCCTACTCCTTTGAGTCCTTTGTTAATGAATTCATTGTTGCATCTGCAGCAACAATTTTTTTAATCCCAATTCTTCTACCAATTGGGTCAATTTAAATTCCTATTTTCTTCTAAATTCTAAACTAACATTGAGTGCCTATTTTATTATTGTTCTTTTTCTTATTTTTAGGACAATGTCTAGCAATCCAATTCCAAGCCAAAGTCAAACATCCTCAAACTCTAACTCTGTTAGGAGAAGAGACATAGGATGGAAACATTGTCATCCTACCAAAGAGAATGATACCAATGAAACTATCTGCAATTATTGTAAAAAAATCATGAAAGGGGGAATTACAAGAGCAAAGCAACATTTAATCAATTATGTTATGAGACTTGATGAATTATGGTATTGTTGTTATGATATTTAAGTATTTAAGTTGATATTATGTTGGTTTTAATTTAGTTTTGTTGCTTGTTATTTATTATTTTGCTGTTTTCTTTGTATATAATATATAGAAATATTTTTTTTATTTTTATTTTTTTGTCCGCCATGACGTCCGCCATAGGCCGCCATGGCATTCGCCATAGAGTTATAAAAGATTTTTGGCCTTGCCGCCATAGACCGTTATCCGCCATCAATAACCTTGAAATAAATAAAACAATAATAAAAATAAAATTTATTAATTATTTTTTAATAAATTTATTTATAAAAATTAACTTCCACTCTATTTTTCTTCTATTTCTCTTTTACCAAACAATCTTTATTTTCTTTCTACTTACCTA